TGCTGCTGCTGCTGATGTCTCCTGTGTGTTGTTTATTTGCGTCAGTGCTTCTGCTGCCTTCCGAGCAGTTCAAGTCTTCAGCTGAGCCAACAGAGCAGCCTGTCTCCTCGTTCTCCTCCTCCTCCTCCTCCTTCTCTGAACTCTACAGCGATCCAGCATAGACTCTGCAGCAGCAGCAGCACACACTTTCTCTGAGCACCAGAGCTCCAGTGCTCCTCAATTCCTCTACACTTGCATCGCCGCCGCCGGTGTACTCGGTGCCGCACAACACTCTGACGCACAAGAGCTGCTGGCGCCCAACAACAGCACCGAGCCACAGGAACCAGGCAGATCACATACTTTACTCAACAGCATCTGATCAACAGCCATGGCCGCACCGAATGGAGCCCGCCAGACGACCAACACGAAGAAGCCCGTCTCAGCGTTGCGGCGGCTGAAGCAGGACTACATGATGCTGATGAACGATCCAGTGCCCTATGTGGAGGCGGCCCCGCTGCCGTCAAACATGCTCGAGTGGTCAGTTCTTTGTAATGTTTTTAGTTAAACTCTTAATCTCATTGTTCTCATGGGTTCTCCTAGGCACTACGTGATTCGTGGACCAGAAGGATCACCATATCATAATGGAATCTACCATGGGAAGCTCCGCTTTCCGCCGGACTACCCCTTCAAGCCGCCCAGCATCTACATGATCACTCCCAACGGGCGCTTCAAACCGAACAGCCGACTATGTCTGAGTATTTCCGACTTTCACCCCGACACCTGGAATCCCACCTGGAACCTGTCGACCATACTGACGGGCTTGCTGAGCTTCATGCTCGAGAACAATTCCACTTACGGCTCAATCATCACCTCCAAGCGGGAGAAGCAAATTTTGGCCAAAAAGAGCTACGAGTACAACCTGAACGATCCGCTCTTCTGTGAGCTCTTTCCCGACATTGCAGACGTATGTTATTAGTAATATTTGCATCGCTGATGAGATTAGTACTACTAACACACGTTATCTTTGCTTTTGCAGGAGATCAAAGACGAGCTTGAAAAACGAAAAGAGGCCGAAAGAACTAGCGCGAATAGTACGGTGAACAACGCAGTGAAGGGCATCGGCAATCAAATCAGCAATCTAATCAACAGCTCTGACGGGGGCAACAGATCGGCGGCAGGCCTAGCTGGCAGGGATAGCACTGCTGCTGCCACTGCTGCCACTGGCCCGCAGTCTAATCGCTTCATCTGGTCGGTCCTCTACAACCTAATTGCCGTTGTGATTCTGGTGATCTTCTTCTACGTGGTTCGCTTCATTCTCCGCGAGTCTAACTTGTTTGGCAGCAGTGCCTCCTCTTAGTGAGCCAGGGTGAGAGAGAGTGAGAGTGAGTGAGTGAGATTGACCAGCGCGCTCATCTTTCACGCAATTGATCTTTCACACACACATCTATTAAGCTCTGCAGGACACTTGCTGTCTTTTCGTTATTACATAATATGCTATTCTACTACGCTGACCTTTACGCGCTCACACCTATTACATTATGAACTTGTTGCCATTTGTTGTTGTCTCTCGAACACTCCTCCTGCTGTATTCTCCTCCCACTCCGCTTGCTCCCTCCTCAAGACACCTCATTACAGAAACAAAGACACCACGGTTTGCTTGCTGACACCACTTCACTCTCAATCCTCTTGTACAATAGTCCACGAAATGGGCAAGCCAGGTCCACTCGCCTCAAACCTTTTCCACAGTCCTACCCTTCTGATTTTATACTTCTTTTTCCCTCCCTGTTACTTTTGTTTTCTTTACCCCTTAAAGGTATTTATTTTTGTACGACCTTACAATCCTTCCTTCCATCCTTCCTTTCCCTTAACTAAAAGCAATGTGCAATTGTCCCGCCGCAGACGCCCGGTGACATACCGATATTTTCACGGTGTATTCTTTTTAGATGAAAAGCGTCCAAAAGCGTTGGTTTTATTTTTACTTTGGTTCTTTCACTCACTCACGGTGTTCTTTTGCACTAGTAAATTTTTTAAAGCAAGGAGAGAAGGACAGGTAACAGGGAATGTGTTTGTGTGTGTGTGTGTGTGTGTGTGTGTGTGTGTGTGTGTGTG